ATCAAATTATTGTGGCTAGAGTCCTAAATATGAGAGGCCACTAAACTAATTATTTCTGGTAACAGATTATTTTTTCCCACCTCACATTTAAAAATATATGCTGTACTACAGAGATCTTGAGATTTTTCTAACTGTATATTAAAGGGGGGTTATAAAAGTTGGTAGGAATAATTCACTCCTACCCCATCCATTTAAGGTAAAACCCATGAATTTAATACATTTCCCAAAAAATACGCTTTAAGGACATTTAAAACATATCTAAGTAACAATCTGAATTCTTTCTCCATACCACTTTTTTTTTTTAAATAAATTGTCACATAAGTAAAATGCAAGTAAATCCTCTTCAATTACATTAGCGATTGTCTCTGTTACTAACAAGTCATAGATTGAAATTATTATTTTTTGTTTCTTTAGTGAGAATTCACAAATCTGAAATGTTGCCCTCCATCCAACTTCCAGCAAATCTCCTCAGAAGCCTGTTTGTATGTGGGATCTTAATGGCAGTTCAGACTGGCTGAAACAGCACAATGTGACCTAGAATACTTTTATACTAATACCTGGAGGACAAAGGATAGAACCAAACAAGTCACAAAAGAACGTAACAGATTACTGCACATGCTCACATTCCACAGGAAAATGTACTGCTGCTCTCCAAAACAAGCACTGATTATAAAGATTATATGAACCAATTCATTCCAGAGCCTGAACTACACTCAATGCAAGGTTCAAAGTGACAGCATAAAGGTGATTGTCTCTCTGATCTGGGGCTTGCCAAGACCTGGTTAGCCCTTCATGTAGGTTAGAGCACCCTGAGGGCTTGCCTTAATTAGAATCCTGGCTGTGATGGCCCTTATAGGCTGTTGCGGCAGACAAGAATACCCCAGCCACATCTCCTATATCTCTTATTCCTATTCTGTAGTTGAAATAAAATAATGTAATTCTATAGAAACCTTGTCAACATTTTAGCAAACCATTGTGCCATGGGATTAAGTGCTAGTCTCTTAACTGTAACACAGTTTACTCTTAATGGGACAAACCCAGAAGTCCTTATTTAGACATAAATAACGGAAATCATTCAATGTTGCCCGAGTAAGGACTGAGTGAGGACCTCAGGAAACTCCTCCCTCCCCCACAAAATAGAGCCCCTACAATTCAAACATTTTAAAGATTATTTAAAAAGAGATATGCAAGACTATCAAAACATACTAAAAATCTTAAGATTGGCCCCAAACCTTAATCTGTTTCTCAATAGCTTTGACCATCCAAGGATAAATCAACTGATTGCTATTTTGTAAATCTGTTTAAATTAGGGCCCTGGATAGTTTAAGTGGGGAAGCATGTTTATCTTAAGAAAAAGTTTCAAGGGTTAAAAGAAAAACCCTTCTAATATTCCATAGGGTCTACAGGTCCTTCGACCCAATTTGATGTGAATAGAACCATTATTGTTCTTCCATTGACAATATAACAACTCCTGCTGAGCTATTATAATGTTAATGGTTTGCTGGAGATTTGAGTAGTATTTTTACTACATGCTGACATTATTCCACTAACCAGGATTTTGCTCATTAAGATGCTACACATTTCCATCTTTAAAATACTCCATGAATTCTGAGTAAGCAATATCCCATCCGATTTTATACATTACAAAGCCAAAATAGGGAAAGAACAGATTAAAAAATATTTAGATAAATTAGATATATCCAGTTCAGCAGGGCCTGATGAAATTCACCAGAGAATACTTAAGGAACTAGATGAAGCAATCTCAAAATAGTTAGCAATTATCTTTGAGAATTCATGGATGGGTGAGGTCCCAGAGGACTGGAGAAGGACTAATATAGAACCAATCTTTAAAAAAAAAAAAAAGGAAAAAAAAGAGGACCCAGGGAATTACAGACCAGTCAGCCTAACTTTGATGCCTAGAAAGATACTGGAACAAATTATAAAACAATTAGTTTGTAAGCACCTAGAGACTAATAGGGTAATAAGGAATAGCCAGCGTGGATTTGTCAAAAACAAAATCATACAAGACCAATCTAGTGTCCTCCTTTGACAGGGTTGCCAACCTAGTGCATGGGGGGAAGTTGTAGACAGGATATATCTTGATTTTTAGTAAGGCTTTTGACAGACCCACATGACATTCTCATGCAAACTAGGGAAACGTGGTCTAGAATGATATTACTATAAAGTTGGTGCACAAAAGGTTGAAAGACTGTACTACAAAGAATAGTTATCAATGGTTTATCATCAAACTGGGAGGACTCATCTAGTGGGGTCCCGCAAGAGTCTGTCCTGAGTCCAGTACTATTCAATGTTTTCATTAAGGAGCTGGATAATGGAGCAGAGAACATGCTTATCAAATTTGCAGATAAAGGGCTTGCAGTCCCTCCCAGCTTGTTTTGAATTCTAACCCTATTCTCCGATCTTGACAAATTGGAGAATTGATCTGAAGTCAACAAGACGAAATTCAATAGACAAGTGCAAAATACTTCACTTAAAGGAAAAAAATCAAATGCACAATTACAAAACGGGGAAAAACTGGCTGTGTGGTAGTACTGCTGAAGAGGGTCTGGGAATTACAGTGGATCACAGACTGAATGTGAGTCAATGTGATGCAGTTGCAAAAAAGGCTAGTATTCTGGGATGTAGTAACAGGAATGTTCTTTGTAAGACATAGGAGGCAATTGTCTCACTCTACTCAGCACTAGTGAGACCTCAGCTGGAGTACTGTGTCCAAACTGTGGGTGCCACATTTTAGGAAAAATGTGGCTCAAATGGAGAAAGTCCAGAGGAGAGCAACAGAAATGATTAAAAGTTTAGAAAACCTGACCTATGGAGGAAAGGTTAAAAGAAATTGGGTATTTTGAGCCTTGAGAAAAGAAGCCTGAGGGGGGTCTGGATAACAGTCTTCAAATATGTTAAGCACTGTTATAAAGAGGAGAGGGATCAATTATTCTCCATGTCCACTGAAGGTAGGACAAGAAGTAATGGGCTAAATCTGCAGCAAGGGAGATTTAGGTTAGATATTAGGAAAATCTTTTAAACTATAAGGACAGTTAAGCACTGGTATATGCTTTCAAGGGAGGTTGGGGAATCCCTGTCATTGGAGGTTTAACAACAGTTTAGTCAAACACCTGTAAGAGACAGTCTTGGTATACTTGGTCCTTCCTCAACACAGGGGGTTGGACTAGATGATCTCTCAAGGGCCCTTCAAATGGCTTTATCTCACTTGAGTGGTCCCTTAGCATCTCAATCGTCCAGTGACTCCATTGGTTTTTAGTAGGCTTCCTGCTTCAGATGTACTTAATTTTTTTTCTATTACTTTCTATTACTTTTTGAGTAAGTAAGAAAAAACAATAAAGGGTTACAAGTCAGAAAGGAATATCATCAAGCCATACAAAGTATTCCGAATCTTTAAGTGATATTTTTATGGCACTAAAACATGAACTTTGCTTTAGAGCTGAACGCTGCCATGGTATTTATACCAGTGTAAGCGCAGAAACCTAATGGAACTCATGTTGTTATACAACCCCCTTCAAATAAAGTATTGTGAAAGGTTTTCCATTGAGATGCAAAACAGAGATCATGCCCTAGAAACTAACAAATCTGAATACTTTAGAAACTCAATGTTTTGCCACAACCACATTAGCACAATAAAAGAAATTCGGCTTCATCTGATCAACTACTCTCTGTGTGTCCGATTTTTCTCCTTTCTAAATCTAATTACACCACCACCAAATTGGTGTAACATAGTGGACAGTGAAGTGGGCTGTAGCTCATGAAAGCTTATGCTCTAATAAATTTGTTAGTCTCTAAGGTGCCACAAGTACTCCTTTTCTTTTTACGGATACAGACTAACACGGCTGCTACTCTGAAACCTGTCATAGTGGAGAGTCTGGCATCTAGTATTCGCTATGGTATTTGCTTACATGGTAACTGTATCAAACACTGACAAGCCAAACCTATTCTTTAAAAATAAACGTGATGAACTACAAACTCTGACTTTCTGTACAGGTTACTTCAGATAAGATTTTACCCAACTGTTTGACACATATGTGGGTTTCCTGAAAGTGACATGGAAAACTGTGGTCTAAAACAGTGGCTCTCAATCTTTCCAGACTACCATACCTCTTTCAGGAGTCTGATTTGTCTTGCGTACCCCCAAGTTTCACCTCACTTAAAAAATCAAATACAAAAGTGTTACAGCACACTATTACTGAAAAATTGCTTACTTTCTCATTTTCATCATATAATTATATTCCAATTGATTTATAAATATTGTACTTACATTTCCATATATAATATTTAGAGCAGTATAAACAAGTCATTGTCTGTATGAAATTTTAGTTTATACTAACTTTGCTAGTGTTTTTTATGTAGCCCATTGTGAAACTAGACAAATATCTAGATGAGTTAACGTACCCCCTGGAAGACCTCTGCGTACCCCCAGCGATACGTGTACCCCTAGTTGAGAATCACTAAAACATCATTAGATACAGGTACAGAAAAACACAAAACCTTTAAAAATTGTTAACAAGCAGACCATTGATGAAATTCAGTTGCACATCAGACCTCCCTTTAGGGCAAGGCTTGAAACAAACACTTGATTACCCCTTCAAAAGACAAGCCCCATGACCCCGCTCTTGGAATTGGTATAAAAGGGCTCCTTCCTCTGTCCTCTTGTGGGTGCCATAAATAAAAACAAACAAAAAACCCAAGAAACTAAGAGAAAAGCATTATAAATCCCATTGACTATAACAAAAAGGTCATAATTCTCCAAGGCTCTGTCAAAAAGGTGCACTGCACATTTGCTGCATACACAGATTTGTTCTGTAATTGCCTTTTTGAAGATCAAATGCATTGATTAATACAACAAATAATGGCAATAACCCTCCCCACCAGGAAGCACAGCTGCTTTTCAGCAATAGATAGTTAAATCCCTACAGAATCCCCTCACTTCTCATTTCTTTGCATTCCTGAATATCCCGTATCAATTTCCTCACCTGATATGGGCATGGGATGTGATATTCTCTGCAGCGTTCTTGTATCCATGTTGTCTCCCACACACCTCGGAAAGCCTGCTCATAGAAATAGCAGCCAATTACAACCAAGAGTGGAACGAGGTACAGAACACTGAACACACCAATCCGGATCATGAACTTCACCAGCTTGTCCTGGTTCTCTTTTTCTAATGGGATTTCAATGCGAACCCGATTGAGGGAGATAATGCCAGCGAGCAGCAGAGAAACTCCAACCACAACATACAGGCAGAGGGGGGCAAGAACAAAATATCGTAATGCATCCACATCATAGAGGCCAACAAAACACACGCCACTAATATTGTCACCTTCAATTTTATTCATTGCTAAAAGGATGATGGTTAGAGTTCCTGGAATGCCCCATGCACTGGCATGGAAGAGCAATGCTTTCTTCTCAATTGCTTCACTGCCCCACTTTGGCACAGCTGCCAAGAACCATGTGATGGTAAGAATGACCCACCAAACACTGCCAGCCATGGTAAAGAAATACAGCACCATGAAAAGCATGGTGCAAGCTTTGTTATGAGAGCCCTGTGTCACTGTGGAAGCCTTGTATTGCGCAGGGCTAGATGCATTGCACGCTACTCGGTCCTCAAGCAAAAAGCCAATGAAGAAAATTAATGACACCATCATGTAACAGACAGCATAAAATATAATGGGTCTTTCTGGATAGCGGAATCTTGTGACATCAATCAGAAAAGTTAAAAAAGTAAACAAGGTAGCAGAAAGGCAGACGATGGAAATCACTCCGATGAAATATCGGGCAAAGGAGAGCTCTTCACGCCTAAAGTACATATTTGGACAAGGAGGGGAACAGTCTTGTACCCTCAGGAAAGAATAACCCAGATCAGGGTCTATTTTCAACTCCCGGGGGCACCAAAAGCCATAGTCCCTCTGCACTGCCATTGGGGCCTCTTCTGTGGGCTCTCCAGCTAAATTGAGGTCTACGAGACGAGGGTAAGGCTCATCACAGTCCGGGAATCTAAAAAAAAAAAAAATATGGGAATTATGTACGTATATTTACCCATACTCTAGATATCCTGTTCTGCTTTATGTCTCTAGCTTTAGAAAACAACTGGATGGAAAACTAAAAATCGACATAAAAAGGTAATTCATTAATCATATGGACATAATTTCATTCTCTCTCTGTATTACTGGGTAAAGCCTGATTCAGCACAGCATTTAAGTAGATGCCTAAATTTCAGGGTGAGTAGTCTCACAAAGTTGACAATAGGGCTACTCACATGCTTAGCATGTACATAAATGCTTTGCTGAATTAGGACCTAAGCTCTGTCAGTGCGTTTAGTGCTGTAGACACAAAAGATGCCAAGTCTCCTAACATGAACAGTTTACAGTGTTTGTAAAAACGACCGCTTTAATTTGCCATAAAACAAGATTATAGATTTCATGTTTTAATTTTAAAAAAGTTGCCAAGCAAAATATTATGGTAGTGTGCCAGGAGCACCTTAGTTAAGGCAGAGCTTTAGTTTTGCATCTGATAGCAGCTAAGTACTACTGGCAGCTATACACCTTTCTTAAAAGCAAAAACTATATTCTTTTCTCTACCCAGTGTTGCCAAGTCAATTTTATTGCAAGTCTTGTAACTCTTTAAATCTGTCACTTGATTGCCCCATTCTTGCCTTCTCTCATGAAAGTTCCTATCCAAGATGTACACCTCCCATTTCTTTCAATGAGGTGGATACTGGGCAAGGCAATTGCCATTTGATGAGAGTCTTTGCAAGCAGACGGTAGACTCTCTGGGAGTAAAGCTGTCTAGTAATATGGTCACCAACTCTCATAGTTTTCAGTAAGACTAAAGCCACTATGGTTAGGTACCTAGACAGACACTGAGGAGACAAGGAATTGCAAGGATAAGTAGAAAAGCCAAACAGAGGCAGCAGGAGAACATGGTGAGCAAGAGACTGAGCGGAGATACTGGTATGTGAAGAGCCAGGCATAGGAGAGCGCGGGATAGGTCAGGGTAATGCATAGTGCAGTAGAAATATTGATGTGTAGGGAAAAAGGTTGAAGGGATTCAGGGGAAAAATAGGGTAGAACATGAGAACATGAAAAGGAGGAGGGACACTGAAGAGGTACAAGAGGAGAATGAGGGTGGGGGCTGAGCGCTATAGAGGAAGAGGGAAGGCTAATAGAATAGCAGCTTCCAACCCCAGAGGCTACAAGAGAGTAAGTGGAGTCCTCCTTTGAGCAGCCAGCAAGGAGGTCCAATTTTTATGTACTTAAGGTTCCATTTTGAACCTGAGAGAGAGAGACACACACATTGTGGGTTGGTTCAAAAACTGGAAGACAACAATTAAAAAAAAGACGTACAGTTTGAGGGTCTGACTCATGACTTTTGAACGCTTGGCACTAACAACACTGTCTACAGTACTATTGTACTTGTAACGGGAAAGTTAGATTAGGCAAGATCTAAATTTAAAAAAACAGCCTTTTTGGAAAATTAGGAATAAGTCACGAACAAAAACAGTCGTCCCCCACAAACTTTTACATATACTTGAAACTGGCAAAGAATGCTCAGTAGGACTCCATGTGTAGACCAATACCACTTTTAAATGAACTAAAGGATAGAGAAAAAGGTTACATGCTGTTAAAAAGTAGCTCAAACAAGAGTTACCATTGGATTTCTGTAATGTTGACACTGAGCTCTCTTCCCTAGTGCCAAAAGTGAAAGCAGATGGAGTGCGTGGGATTTTCTGGACACAGCAGTTAGGGAATGGATGCCCATATTCTTAGGATGGGACCTGAGGAATAGGATGACTTGGAGGGACTAGACCTCTCTTCAGAGTCTAGAATTGGAGCAGTCTTTTCCATTAGGGTCTCAAAGTCTCCCCTGGATTCTCATCAGCACAAGGGAGCCCTTACAGTAGCAATGCTTTGGCAAAAAAAAAAAAAAAAAAAAAAGCAAGCTCTAGTCTGCCTTAAATTTTAACCTCACCACAGATCTACAGATCTTTAAGGTCAGCTCCCTTCCCACTCCACTCAGGGGCCATTTCCTCTTATCTGTGCCCGTGTTTCATTATAGTCACTGGAGTTAAGGAAGTATGGGCTGGATGAATGCACTATAAGGTGGGTAGAAAGCTGGCTAGATTGTCGGGCTCAACGGGTAGTGATCAATGGCTCCATGTCTGGTTGGCAGCCGGTATCAAGTGGAGTGCCCCAAGGGTCGGTCCTGGGGCCGGTTTTGTTCAATATCTTCACAAATGATCTGGAGGATGGTGTGGATTGCACTCTCAGCAAATTTGCGGATGATACTAAACTGGGAGGAGTTGTAGATACGCTGGAGGGGAGGGATAGGATACAGAAGGACCTAGACAAGTTGGAGGATTGGGCCAAAAGAAATCTGATGAGGTTCAATAAGGATAAGTGCAGAGTCCTGCACTTAGGACGGAAGAACCCAATGCACAGCTACAGACTAGGGACCGAATGGCTAGGCAGCAGTTCTGCGGAAAAGGACCTAGGGGTGACAGTGGACGAGAAGCTGGATATGAGTCAGCAGTGTGCCCTTGTTGCCAAAAAGGCCAATGGCATTTTGGGATGTATAAGTAGGGGCATAGCGAGCAGATCGAGGGACGTGATCGTTCCCCTCTATTCAACATTGGTGAGGCCTCATCTGGAGTACTGTGTCCAGTTTTGGGCCCCACACTACAAGAAGGATGTGGATAAATTGGAGAGAGTCCAGCGAAGGGCAACAAAAATGATTAGGGGTCTGGAACACATGAGTTATGAGGAGAGGCTGAGGGAGCTGGGATTGTTTAGCCTGCAGAAGAGAAGAATGAGGGGGGATTTTATAGCTGCTTTCAACTACCTGAAAGGGGGTTCCAAAGAGGATGGCTCTAGACTGTTCTCAATGGTAGCAGATGACAGAACGAGGAGTAATGGTCTCAAGTTGCAGTGGGGGAGGTTTAGATTGGATATTAGGAAAAGCTTTTTCACTAAGAGGGTGGTGAAACACTGGAATGCGTTACCTAGGGAGGTGGTAGAATCTCCTTCCTTAGAGGTTTTTAAAGTCAGGCTTGACAAAGCCCTGGCTGGGATGATTTAACTGGGAATTGGTCCTGCTTCGAGCAGGGGGTTGGACTAGATGACCTTCTGGGGTCCCTTCCAACCCTGATATTCTATGATTCTATGAGTGACCAATAAAAATCAAAAATCAAGAAGGAGGCAAGTTTCAGCTTCACTCTGAAGCAGAGCGTGATCATCATCTGCTCAATGTGCCACAAAGCTACCGCCTTAAAGTAAAACAGAATTGTTTTGTTTGCATTCTCTCCAGTGGTGTTTGCTTTTTGAAATAAGGATTTTTTGTAAGTGACATTTTAGTCTCTCATTAAACATAAAAGATTAAAATGTACTCACTTCAGTTGAGTACAATTTTACAAGACTGGTTTAGAAAGTATAAAATGTCAGCTATGGCTGTCTAGTACAGCTTTAACCAGACTGGTGCACTGGTCAAAACAGTGTGGGGGAAGAAAATAAAATGCAACTGGCATACCAATTCCCTTTAAAATATCACACTTAATTTAACCTAATCACATATAAATATTTTCAGCATGTGGGCGTGTGTGGGGAAATGAGAGAAATATGAAAGTAGTTTCCTTCCCAGGAAACAGGCAGATACACTAAACAAAGGAAGGAAAAATAGGGTTATTGTCTGTAGTGGAAACATACTGCTGGACTGGAAAAGAGACAGTTTAAAACATCCTGGAACACACTAAATTTTTTTAGATGGTGGTTCTGAAAAAACAGATTTGCTAACCTGCTGCATTCCATATCCTCTGGCCAAGAGACACCAAACATCTCCATGAGTTTGGAACATTCGCTGTATGCACGTTGACAAAGCCTGCGACATGGGAGAGTGACACGTCCATACTCCATACAGACTGGAGCATATAGGGCACATAGAAATGGTCGAAAATCCCTGGAGCATTCCAGATTGACCATAGGATGAAACGGCTAGAAAAGAAAAGAATAATTAAATAGCGGCAGACTGCAGTTTTGTGGAAAACATCAGCAGTAAGCCATACTTTGTCTTATGAATCATTCCGGCCTTTACCATCATTCTCCCAACCAAGAGCTGCCTTATGGAAGAAGTTGGGAACATTAACGCTCATATGCCAGGCTTCACTTAACGCAAATATAAGCATTTAAAAAAAGAGAGAGAAAGAGACCCCATGTTACACAACAGTATCTAAGGCCTGGTCTACACTACGAGTTTATGTCGGATTTAGCAGCGTTAAATCGAATTAACCTTGCACCCGTCCACACAACAAAGCCATTTTTTTCGACATAAAGGGCTCTTAAAACTGATTTCTGTACTCCTCCCCAAAGAGGGGATTAGCGCTGAAATCGACATCGCTGTTTCAAATTAGGGTTAGTGTGTACGCAATTCGAAGGTATTGGCCTCCGGGAGCTACCCCATTGTGACCGCTCTGGACAGCACTCTGAACTCTGATGCACTGGCCAGGTGTACAGGAAAAGCCCCGGGAACTTTTGAATCTCATTTCCTGTTTGGCCAGGGGACCTCATCAGCACAGGTAACCAGGCAGTCCCAGAATCGAAAAAGAGCTCCAGCATGGACCGAACGGGAAGTACTGGATCTGATGGCTGTATGAGGAGAGGAATCTGTGCTATCAGAACTACGTTCCAAAAGACAAAATGCCAAAACGCCAAATGCCAATGGGGGGAGGGATATCTCAGTGGTTTGAGCATTGGCCTGCTAAACCCAGGGTTGTGAGTTCAATCCTTGAGGGGGCCATTTAGGGATCTGGGGCAAAAATTGGGGATTGGTCCTGCTTTGAGCAGGGGGTTGGACTAGATGACCTCCTGAAGTCCCTTCCAACCCTGATATTCTATGAAAACATTTCAAAAAATCTCCGAGGCCACGAGGGACAGAGGCTACAGCAGGGACGCAACATAGTGCCGCGTGAAACTTAAGGAGCTCAGACAAGCGTACCAGAAAACCAAAGAATCAAACAGATGCTCAGGGACAGAGCCCCAGATATGCTGCTTCTACGCTGAGCAGCGTGCAATTTTACGGGGGGGGGGGCGGCTGCCATCACTATCCCACTCCTGTCCGTGGACTCTGATGATGGGGTACTCTCCATCATACCTAAGAATTTTGCAGACAGGGAAGATGAGGAGGAGGAGGATGAGCTTGAGGAGAGCACACAGCACACCATTCTCCCCAACAGCCAGGATCTTTTTATCACCCTGACTGAAATACCCTCCCAACCCAATGAAGCCGGAGAAGGGACCTCTGGTAAGTGTATCTTTTAAAATATAATACATGTAATAATAAATATAAAAGCAAGCGTTTTTTAATGATTAAGTAGCCCTGAGGACTTGGGATGCATTCATAGCCAGTACAGCTACTGGAAAAGGCTGTTAACGTGTCTGGGGATGGAGCAGAAATCCTCCAAGGACATCTCCATGAAGCTCTCCTGGAGGTACTCTAAAAGCCTTTGCAGAAGGTTTCTGGGGGAGAGCAGCCTTATTCTGTCTTCCATGGTAGGACACTTTACCATGCCATGCTAGTAGCAAGTAATCTGGTATCATTGCATGACAAAGCCTGGCAGCATATGGCCCCGGTGTTTGCTGACATTCAAGCAACATCAGTTCTTTATCTCTCTGTGTTATCCTCAGGAGAGTGATATCGTTCATGGTAACCTGGTTGAAATAGGGCAATTTAATTAAGGGGACATTCAGAGGTGGCTGTTCCTACTGGGCTGTTTGCCTGTGGCTGAAAAGAAATCCTCCCCGCAGTTAGCCATGCAGTTGGGGGGGGGGGCATTGGAGCTGAGGTGTTCTCGTTTGGTTGGCAGGGATCTTCCCTGATACCAGCCACGTGGTGGGGTGAGGGGTAAAGCAATCATCCCAGAGAATTGGATGGGGGCGTAGTTTGGTTTCTGCTGCTGCACATTAACAGGAAACCTCAGCACTAAATGGCCAACTCAACATGCTTTGCTTGGTATGGGAGAGGAGGGTGCTGCCATTATGAAGGTTGCAGAAGCTGAAAGACTGTGGCTTACCATGGCTGCCTGCAAGCCAAATTCTGTTGCCCGGCACTGCGTGTGTGATCTCTAACACCAAAGTCGCAGGCACTCAATATAAGATGCAAAATGTGACCTTGTACCAAAATCACATGTGCTATATAATGTGAATAGTGTTGTTCACCGTGAAAAAGTATACCCATTGTTCTGTAAAATGTATCTTTTTAAATACTTCACTCTCTTTTTCCTCCAGCAGCTGCAAATGTTTCAAGCCTCCCTCCTCCGTCCCAAAGGCTCTCAGATAAGGCGTCAAAAAAAATGCATGTGCGATGAAATGTTCTCTGAGCTCATGCAGTCATCCGGCACTGACAGAGCTCAGCAGAATGTGTGGAGGGACACAATAGCAGAGTACCGGAAAGTGGCCGATGAACGTGAGGAGAGGTGGCGGCAGGAAGATCAGAGGAGGCATGAGGCAACGCTGGGGCTACTGCGGGATCGAAGGGACATGCTCTGGTGTCTGGTGGAGGATCATGAATGGCAGCAGGATCACAGACTGCCGCTGCAGCCCCTGTTTAACCACCCTCCCTCCTCCCCAAGTTCCATAGCCTCCTCACCCACATGCCCAAGAACACGGGGGGGGGGGGGGGGGGAGGGCTCCAGGCACCCAACTATTCCACCCCAGTGGACAGCCCAAGCAACAGAAGGTTGTCATTCAACAAGTTTTAAAGTGGCCTTTTCCTTCCCTCCTCCCCTCCTCCCACACCCCACCAGGCTACCTTGTGAGTTATCTCCCTATTTTTATAATCAATTAATAAAGAATACATGTTTTTTAAACGATAGTGACTTTATTTCCTTTGCAAGCAAGCTGTGATCGAAGTGGAGAGGACAGGAGGCTTACAGGGAATTTAGAGTCAACCAAGGGGGCGGGTTTTCATCAAGGAGAAACAAACAAATGTCACAGTACCCTGGCCAGTCATGAAACTGGTTTTCAAAGCTTCTCTGATGCGTAGCACTTCCTGCTGTGCTCTTCCAACCGCCTTGGTGTCTGGCTGCGCGTATTCAGCGGCCAGGCGATTTGCCTCAACCTCCCACCCCGCCATAAACATCTCCCCCTTACTCTCATAGAGATGGTGGAGCACACAGCAAGCAGCATTAACAATGGGAATTTTGGTTTCGCTGAGGTCTGAGCGAGTCAGTAAACTGAGCCAGTGACCCTTCAAACGTCCAAATACACACTCTACCACCATTCTGCACCTGGTCAGCCTATAGCTGAACAGCTCCTTACTACTGCCCAGGGTGCCTGAATACGGCTTCATGAGCCAGGGCATTAAGGGGTAGGCTGGGTCCCCGAAGATAACTACAGGCATTTCAACATCCCCAGCAGTTATTTTCTGGTCTGGGAAGTAAATCCCTTCCTGCAGCCTTTTAAACAGACCAGAGCTCCTGAAGACGCGAGTGTCATGAACCTTTCCCGGCCATCCCATGTTGATGTTGGTGAAACATCCCTTGTGATCCACCAGTGCTTGCAGCACCCACTGAAAAGTACCCCTTGCGGTTTATGTACTGGCTGCCCTGGTGGTCCGGTCACAAGATAGGGATATGTGTTCTGTCTATAGCCCCACCACAGTTAGGGAATCCCATTGCAGCAAAGCCATCTAGTACGACCTGCACATTTCCCAGAGTCACTACCTTTGATAGCAGCAGCTCAATGATTGTGTTGGCTACTTGCATCACAGCAACCCCCACAGTAGATTTGCCCACTCCAAATTGATTACCGACTGACCGGTAGCTGTCTGGCACTGCAAGCTTCCAGAGGGCTATTGCCACTTGCTTGTAAACTGTGAGGGCTTTTCTCATCTTGGTATTCTTGCGCTTCAGGGCAGGGGAAAGCAAGTCACAAAGTTCCAAGAAAGTGCCCTTATGCATGCGAAAGTTTCGGAGCCACTGGGAATCATCCCAAACCTGCAACAATATGTGGTCCCACCACTCTGTGCTTGTTTCCCAGGCCCAGAATCAGCGTTCCACAGCGTGAGCCTGCCCCAGTAACACCATGATCTCCAAATTGCTGGGGATCATGATTTTAGAGAGATATGTGTTCATGTCCTCATCACCACGCTGCCATCGTCTCCTCGCCTGGTTTTTCAGGTGCTGGTTCTACATAAACTGCACGATAATGCGCAAGGTGTTTACAATGGTCATAACTGCTGCGGTGAGCTGAACGGGCTCCATGCTTGCCGTGCTATCGTGTCTGCTTGGGCAATCCAGGGAAAAGGGCGCGAAATGATTGTCTGCTGTTGCTTACACGGAGGGAGGGTTGACTGACGACATTTACCAATAGCAACCCGTGACAAATTTTTGGCCCCATCAGGCATTGGGAGCTCAGCCCAGAATTCCAATGTGCAGCGGGGACTGCGGGACAGCTACGCACATTGCACTGCTCGGAATGTCGACGCTTGCCACTGTACTGTGGACACACACCGCCGAATTAGTTTGCTTAGTGTGGACGCATGCACTCGACTTTATACAATCTGTTCCCAAAAATCGACTTCTGTAAATCGGAGTACTTCCGTAGTACAGATATGGCTTAAGTGACTACCACTGCTCTTCTAAGAAATTAACATTCCTCCCCTCCAAAAAAAACTTGCTTTCTTCCTTTGCTTGTCTATAAAGTGCAGATCTACCACATATTGCTAGCTGCCTACTTACTAGGATCCCCTACGTTAAATTCTACTCGTAGTGTCCCACCCACCTTCAAGAGTGCTGAACAATGCAGGTTGCCTTTTGGGGTAAGGACACATTACATGGTTTTATAGTGTGATTTTAAAGACATTATTCCTAGTCAAAAGCTGATTATCTCCGATATAATAATCCTCATGTCCTGACTTCCTTCCCTTAGTCTTTCCTTTCGCAGAAAAGGACTCTGCATTTTTATTGCTTTTGCAAAGTACACATGCAGGATACTTT